CCATCATTCACCAAGACATTAATGGTCTCGGTAATTTCCTGGAAAACACATCCGCAGTTGGTTGGGGATCCACACCCTCAACATTACTCTCTCGGGAGTTATTGCTCTCAGGAGCGCTGGAACTTTCTTCCAGTACGTGATTCGACTGTGGTTATACCACCACAGTCACGTCCTCTTCGATCGACTCTCTTTCAGTCGATCGGGATTGCTCTATGATCGACTCTTTGTTGGTCGATCTCGCTTCAACGTGTTGTTAATCCTGAACAACACTACTCTCTCTTCTCGGATGCACCCTTCTTGGTGTGCATCCGTATTCGTGACCACTAGATCTCTTCGAGTGGTGAACCTTCGGCGCAGCCTGTGTCTCTACACAGGTGCCGGAAGCTGATTCTACAGTGTAGTGGCCTTCTACACTGTAATCTTGTGCAGTCATAAAACGACTGTACCACAAGTTAGGCCATCGCACTCACTTGTAGTACATACACACGCTTGTGGACGCTCCAAGACTTTCATCAGATGGCCATCTGATGAACAAACGGCATGCATCTTCACGAATTGATGCTGCCAGCTGATCCATGGCTGGTACTTTCGAAGCCATGGTGATCCGAGGATGACATCAAATTTGTCATTCGAATCTATTACGACGGAGTCATCATCGTACTGTCTTTCTTTTAGCGTGTTTTGGATTCCCACTACACGTTTGTTCACTGTTACGGATGCACCTGTAGCACGGCACGCCGTCATCCTTGTTGGAGGGGACTCTCGCTCAACATAGATGATTCTACAATCTTCTAGCGAATCACGTCAAATATAGCTATCCGAAGTCCCACAGTCAACTAGGGCACGAAGTGACATTCCACATATCACTTCGATCTTCAAAGTGATGAGGGACACCTCATCACTAGGTGCAGTAACACGCAGAGACTGCGTGTTGGGAGCAATCCTCGTCAAAAGTCCTGCAAATTCTCTTGACGTTGCTGGATCAGCAGGGTGCTTCGCCTCTACTGACCCTGTCCGTTTTTTGACGGTCCGACTTTCTGTCATTGTTTAGAGGCATGGTTGGACCCACGCTTCGGACCTTTCCTCGGCTAACGGCGGTCATCACGTCCTGTCATTTGACGTGATGCGGTGTTTGGGACACAGCAATCATGGGCGCAGTGTCCAATCTTTGGACAGCGATGGCATCTTGCCGTTCGCTTGTGATTCAGAGAGCGAAATTTCTTGCTCTCGATGTAACAGAGTTACATTGGCTCTGGACCTCCTGTTTCCTGTCGTCTCGTCGGACGATAGTGTGACAAGTTATCTCGAGACTGTCTCAGGATGAAGTCTTCTCGTTCCGCATACGCTATCGCCTTTTCCAGCGTATGGAAGTCCTCTCGGAACAGGTAAGTCTTCAACGGCCCATCTACAAGGCCGTAGATGAACACGTTGATGAGCGTGTGCTCATCAACAGGTTTTTCTGTAATGCTCCTCGCAAGGTAGCGTAGGTGCTGTGTATAAGCTTGCACGTCACCCTTTCCTTGCGTTAGCCTTAAGAATGCAAAGCGTGCTCTGAACTCGGCTCTCAGCGGCTCAAACGGCTCTTTGAGCCGAGACTTCAAGGTCTCTAACGACTCAAACACGTTTGGGTCGTGTAGCTTGATCCCTAAGGCCCAAGTCTTTGCTCGTCCTGTCAAATTTGACAGGGTGAAGGTAACTTGCACTCGTCACCCTCAATGTGACGGGCCCTGATGGCATCGTCTAACTCGACGAGCCATCTTAAAAGGGAATCTTCATCGGTTCCCTTGTACCTTGAGACATCTATCTTCAAGGTTTCGGGTCGACGCATGTGCGTCGGCCTGCCCATCGACTGATGATAGCTTTGCTGCTGTAGCAAGGCTATCTTCTGTCTCTCGACGGCAAGTTCCCCTTGTAGGAACTTGTTGATAGCGGCATGTTGCTGATATTTGTTTAGATACTCTGTGGTGGAGTGGGGTTCGCTCATTTTTTGAGGCGATCCCGACTCTCCACTGGCGCCCAGACGACCGACTAACGGATGGGGTACTCCGATTCCACTTGCACTTGTTCCTCCTCACCTTGTGTACCCGTCGGCAGGTCGGGTTGCACTCTTATAGGTGGACTCGACGAGATGCTAATCTTGACCGTTGTAGAGATTGGTGCTGATCGGGTGGAAATCCTCACCCGATCGCGTGTTCTGGGTTGGCGCTCTCCTAGAGTCGTCGTGATCTGCCCTGATAACCTCTTGCCAAAATGTGTACTTGAGTCGCGAGCCTTTCTGGCCACTTGAGTTGTCTCGCGATCTTGTACTTCAACCGATACGGTTGGCTGCGTCCGATCGCAGTAGGGGTGTGTTGAGAGTCCTATCACTCCTGGCCAAATAGCTCCAGGAGTGATCGTTCTATCCTTGATGTCGAGATTCTAGTGTCGATCTTCTCCCGGGTTGGATATTTTGGCCTCCCGCCAGACGTCGAAAGGCCAAAATATCCAACCCGGGAGAAGATCGACACGAATGTGTTTAGAAGCAAATTGAACTCTGTTTAATGTTAACCAATCAGAACCTCACACCTTACCCCTACACTAGAAAAATCAGATGCCACGCGTCGCCTCTACAGATCGCCCCTTGTTCCTATGTGGCATAGACCTGACACACCAACCGTCTGATTGCATCAGGGCATGGTCCACGCCAGATTGCGGTCCCTTGATCGCGGATCCTGATCACGGTCCCCTGATCGCAGTCCCCTGATCGCGGACCCTCAATCGCGGTCCCCTGATTGCGGGCCCTTGGTCGCGGTCCCATTCGCCGTTCTGAATTGTTTTAACAGGATGAGATATTTCCGTGAAAAATCCCAACGGTGCCGTCCATATGATTGGTCCTCGTCCCACGATCGTTCCGCCGGTCCCCACTCCGTAGTTAGGCAAACGTGTGATTTTTACGACACCAATCTTGATCGACTTTACCACAACTCCAATATGCCACTGATGCCGGGTTCGCCCATGAGCACACTCATGCGGCCGACTACCTTCCATTCTGAGTTACTCAGATGGGGGTAGCCTTCACGTGTAACGTGATAGCTGTCGTCTTCTACGTCCGACATGTTTATGTTGGACGGACACTAAGTAGTCGTTGGACGGACTACAAAGTGCTTCCAGGTGTAACGGGGCACCATTTGTTTGCGGTGCCGCGAAACTTCACGTACACTAGTACGTGCAGAGGAAGCTAATCTACTCAAACAGCTAGTTTGAGTAAAGGTAAAAAGAGGACTGTATTTAATTTTATTAAGCTATCAACATAACTTTAATCTTCATCCAACCATCTTAATCTTCATTGTCGTATGACTACAACCTGCTTAACGCCCATTACGCGCGTCTAGCAGCGATTGGCGCGCTCTTGGTTAATGTATCGTTTATCAACCAATCTTTGAGCAGCGCAATAGTATTTTATCCCAAAAGGGGATAATGTTCCTTCAGTAATATTATCTCGGGTGATATTGGTAGGATATTGTCACGCTAGACAATCTCCCTATTGACACCGTTTGGTGTCAATATCATGTAACAGGCTACCCCGTTACACGTAATCTTCTTCCTGTTAAGTCTTAAGGAAGCATGGTGCGATCAAGAATAGCTGCTTAAGCTCTTTAATCAAACACTGTGAATGAAAGGATCCCAAACCTCTTTGTCTCGTACGTACACTTTATTAGCACTGTAAAATGAAAATTACGAGCGAGTAGGATGCTTTCCAGGTAAGAAAAAGAGAGATAATAAATTGCTACACTGTCACTGTTTTTTTTTGAAAAAAACGAGATTTTAACACTTTTTCACTTCATTAATTACGCTTGATCGGTGTACTTCCATTCAAATGTTCTTTTGCATACCCATTGCACAACGTTTATAGGTTGGGAAGGACACCTTCGTCGATTTTTTGGATACTTAAAAGATTTGTCAATCGCTCACACCAGATAAGTACATATTTTTGACTGGTCTGTATGATAGCGATTCAGCTTTCAATTAGCTAATTCTCTGGATAATTTAAGTGATGGATCGTGAATGTGGCTGCACTGCAGCAAATTTAAATTCAAACTTACTCGCTTGTCACCAGAAGATACGGTCACGCGCACCATTGTGGTGGAGTGGCGATCGCTCATTTTAGGAGGCGATCCTGGCTCTCCACTGGTGCCCAGACGACCGACCATCGGAGGGGTTACTCCTTTTCGGTGTCTTGTAATTCCTTCCTCACCTTGTGTACCCGTCGGCAGGGCGGGCTGAACTCTTCTCGGTGAACTCGTATCGATAGAAAACTTGACCGTGTTTGGAATGGGTTGGTGTGATCGGGCAAAAATCTTCGCGTGATCACGTAGTACTTGTAAGGTGTTCGATAAAAGTCACCCAGATCTCAACAAGATCACCTTGTCCACTGTTTGGATGCTTTACACGCGAGCCTTCTGACCACTTGAGCCGTCTCGTGATCTTGCGTCTTGTCCTTTTCGTTCTTGCTGCGTCCGATCGCAGTTGGGGGGGGGGTGAGAATTCTTGATCCCCAGCCAATGATCTGGGGATATCACTTGGTTTTAGTATACGTTACTTTCCTTTCGTCAAGAGGCCAATATTACAGCCCAGAAGAGAAGTCGACGCGTGTAATTAGAAGCGAATTTAATTCTGTTTGATGTCATCCAGCCAAAAGCTAAGACTGTGGCTGTGCCTGTCTTTGTGCTAGGATGTTCTGCTACGTGTCCTCTATCTTTCGGTGATTGAAATTCGCATGTATGGTCCACTTCATACAGATCGCCGATCTCTTCGGTCGCCATTCTCCCGAATGCAATTTCTTCTATCTCCTCGACCGATCACCGATCGACGATCTCCTCTACCAATCCCTGAATGACGATCTTCTCGATCGATCACTATTCGAAGATCTCCTCGACCGATCGCCAATCGACCATCTCCTCGACCAATCGCCGATCGTTGATCTCTTTGGCCGATCATTGACCTTAGATCTACTAGGCCGATCACTGACCGTCGATCTCGTTGATCTCTTTGGCCGATCGCTGATCGTCGATCTCCTTGGCCATTCGCTGATCGTTGATCTCCTCGACCGATCGCCGATCGTCGATCTCCTTGGCCGATCGCTGATCGTCGATCTCCTTGGCCAATCGTCGATCTCTTTGGCCGATCGCTGATCGTCGATCTCCTTGGCCGATCCCTGATCTGTCCGATCGCTGATCTGTTCGATAGTCGATCTCCTTGCACAACTTGTCTTCTTCATCAATCTCGATCTCTTCGACCGCTTGTCGATCGCCTTCCAGGATCTTGATCTCTGCCAATCTGTTAGCCATATCCCGACCTTGATCATCTTATACTTCCTCAATCTCGGTACCTTGGCTTGCTCTTGGTAACTTGACATTCGATCCCATTGTCGTGATATTGAGTTGTGGTATTGCGATATTCGCTCTTGGTATCGTGGTATTCGATCTCGATACTGTGATATTCGATCTCAGGATTGCACTTCTTATCAGCCAGTCAATCCCTCTCCACGATTCGTCTCCGTTGGAGACCACTGCCTTAATCGATCGCTCTTTCTTCCGAAATTGCTTCCACTACACTTCCATCACCATCAAGTATATTCGCCTCAGGTCACCTTCTTCACTTGAGCCGTCCGAGCTCAAATCGTCCAAGCCCGAATCTTCCAAGGACACACGTACCGCATGTACTGACCGACAGTTTACTTCTCTTGGATGGTTGGGGGGTACGGATGCCTTTTGGCGATCCTTGCTTGATACAAAGATTATTTGCCCCGCTGCGCTTTTTTTCTCTGCCTGTCTCTCAGCACGTCTTCCAAAATGTCCACACCCGCCAGACGCAATATCGTGAGCTGGTCCGCCATTTCCGGGTCGTCTAAACTTTCGATGTAGTGCTTGACATGTTCCTTTTGTACCTTGGGCGGACCGTCCTTGATCTTGGTCTTCGCCCTGAGTCCATTCACGTTGAGTCGGTAAAGGTAGTGCAATGTTGACTCATCTGAACTCTTCTTCGCACGGTAGTGTTGGCGAGCAACTCGCACTCCCAAACCGTAGAACTGCATCTGGAACTCTTGTAGGATATCCTTACAGCTTGATAGAACCGAGCAACCCAGCTGGCGATACCAGTTTTGAGCTGGTCCAGTTAAAAATCACCGAAGACAAGACACTTTTCATGGTCGGGCGCTTGATCTCTCGTATACGCGATTTTCACTGTGGTCACCTTACTTCGTGCTCGGTCCTCGTCTTGATCTATTCCGTAGAAATCAATGAGGTCCGGTGTCGCTGCAATTTTGATGCGAGGGACCATGTCGTTCATTTATCCTGGCCAATGGTCCATCCAATTCCATTTCGTCAGGGTCGTACTCTCACGTACCGACAAATTACATCTCCACGTCAGTCATAGTGCCCTGTCTCGATGCTTGCGTTGGGATCCTCGGTGCTTGTTACGCCTCTTTTTCCTGCACCCTTTGTGCCTCTGCGGTCTACCTTCCATCTTGGCATCCTTGTTGCACCTGGAGTTCCTGTAAAAATCGTGCCATCACCGCGTCGAAGTAAGTCTGCAAGTTACCTACCGTGTCGGTAGGCGTATCCCGCCCCAGCATCTTCGTCACGTGGTGGTGCAAAGTTTCGATAACGACCGTGCTGATTTCCCATTCAGTGAAAATTTACCCTATCAGGCGCTTGGATGTTTGGGTTAACACGTGTCGCCATTTCGTAAACATACTGATCGTTCTCTATGCCCCTTGCACAATCCTGGAGCATCGCTACTCTTGCCGGTCCCAGTGGCGTCCGGTTGTACTGGTCAAGAGCAGACGAACTGCGTGACGACCGCTCATCCGCGTCTTGGATACCTGGCGGAAGGGTTGGTAGTGGCGGACGGCGCAGCACCATCGGGTTGTCGAGCTGTGGTCGTGCTTGGGGGTTAGGCTTAGAGGTCTTGGAGTGTCATCTGGCTGTCGCGAGACAGCGTCGGTATTGGTTGCGCTGGTAATACGTCGTTGTATCTGGTGGTGGTCCCAACCAGAATAGCCAATTGCTTGTGCAACTTCTCCAACATGCTCTTGATGCTGTTAAAACCTAGGTCGAACAAAGTGTTTGGCTCGAACATTCCGGCAGCCATGTTTGCCTCGCAGACGAGAGTTCTCAGCGAAGTGGCCACCTCGATGACCGTCCGGAGGCGCGATAGGGGTGACACCGGTCCCCCTAGCTGTCCAAGCAACTTGATCTCCAGGGTTTTCGCGACGGGGTCGCTTGCCAATTTGGTATACAGCTTGCGTCGTTGGTAGGTGATCGTCACAGCATCTTCCGATCCAGCTAACGGTCCTGCTTGGGCAGGGCCCATCAATTTGGTGTCCACCGGCGTCTTCTTGTTTTTCGGCTTGGACTTAGCGGTGTTGGGATGTTTTGGTGTGGGGGGATCATAGCTTTCAAGATTGAGGCTTCAGCCGTTGATCCAAATCCGTCGATGGTCCTGACGTATCTGGACCTATCGACTTGGTGTCATACGGCGCTTTTATCCTGTTTCTCTTCAGCTCGGACTTGGCGACCAAAGGGGTTTATTGTTTCGGGAACCATAACTGTTCGCTTTTCACCGTCGGTTGATGGTCCACTAGGGCAAGATAGATATCATGACCCAATACGTCCTCAACGAGAACATAGGGAGGATGTTTAGATTTTTCTTCAGTAATTTCAACCTTGACCATATTGACCGGATCTGTAGCGGAGCTACCACACCTCCTTAAGTCAGAGGAAGACTTAACGCTTTACGAGCAACTTAGTTTCACAGAACTAACGACTTTACGAGTCAACAAGCTTTACAGCTTCAGATCCCTGTTCCAGGGGACCTAACGATTCAGGGAATCGACAGCACTCAGTGCTCAAGAGTAGCTACCTCAAGGAGGTGTTGCTAACTCTTAGTGATCAGTAATCAACGATCAAGACGGCTCGCAAGCCACGTGTCCTTTAGATCAAAATGGGAACTGATTTTATTTTTGTGAACGCTTATAGAATATCTTAATCCTACTCAAAGATCTTTCGTACCTAATGGCTGACACTCGTCAGCCCCTACAAACCAATAAGATATTCTATATCACCTTCACAAAGGGGTAACCTCAGGTGTGTAACACCTCTGGTACAAAGAGCCATAATATCGTGCAACACCGTTACAGGACCCCTCCTTCACCAGACAGACGTTTGCCAAAACGTCAATCGAACTTGTGTTCTCAGCGAGAATAGTGCGCGTGCGGTAACCCTCACGGTATTGTACGCTCTAGCACGATGTCCTTATCACCAAACGAATCAAAGGCTCTGTGTGACTACCTCGGAATAGAGGAGGAGGTGGACTATGGTAGCAATACCAGTATCCGCGGTGATACAGGGACAATGTCCGGCTCATTGATGCCTGTGGCACAACCTTTGAACACCCCAAATCCGTTCATAAACGTGTAGATGCGAGCCCACCACCAGCGCAGCATGCAGCATCTGGGTCTGATGAAACTATCATCACGAACCCGCTTGATGAGCAACAACGACTGCTTGTCCAAAGAGAAGAAAACGCTCAGCGTTCTGTACACATGGCTGCAACCCTTGAACGCCAGCGTGACTATGTTTTCACCCCACCCAGTGTGGAGGAACGTCTACGTCGGGCGGGCCGGCCAAAGGTTGGCAACGTGGGTCATTGACCATGGGCCTAAGACTCCTGAGGAGGTGGGGAGCTGCCAGGCACTTTGTGAGAGGTACCTGGAGCCGCACCTAACGAATCAAAGTCAAAACAAGGCACTCTTTGACATGCAAGCACGTGGTGCATTGGTTCCACTGATCAAGGGTATACCCATTCTCTTGCTCGCAGGCGAAACAGTGAGCGAAGAAGACGATGCCTTCGTTCACTGGATGCACTTTGTGCGTTGCCTCAGCAGCATTTTTGCTCTAAGGGCTAGTGCCCAAGCGGCGGATGTGCGTCTCGATCGCAAGCTTCGGTATGATTATGTCAAGCTTAAGGCCAGAGGCCAATTGCGCAAGCGCACGCGCTATGCTTCGGCTACTAAGGCAGCCGCGAGTGCTGGTCAGTCTGTGGCCAACAACCCTCCAACCCGCACCACTAGTGGTGGGCAACGGCCTCGGTCTCGAGATGACCATGGCCACGATGCTCAAAAGCCTCCAAAGCATATGGGCAGTCTGGCCGGAGGGGTACCTCAAATTCCCATAAGTTTTCAGACTCAGGGTACCCACGCCATCTTCTACCAGATACTGGTATTGGCCCTGACGACGACGTCGTTTCAGTATTCTCTCGACATGAAATTGACGACACCCATGCTCATCGAGCAAAGTCGGTGGCGGCCGGTGTACCGATGGAGGCCCACGAGAAATTGGTTTTCGAAGTGAAGGGTCTTCAAGAGGCCTTGAATAAGTCCCAGTGCATGCTGGATTCGATGCAAAGCCGCCTTCAGGCGATGGAACAAGCTCAAACTCGGAGCGAGGTTCAGTTGGACTTGCTGATTCGTCACCAGCAATCCGGGGCAGTGCCCTTGTCGTCGGCGCAAGCGTTTCCAAGTTCACATGGGAATAACGCCGGTACGGCTTAAGTAAGCCTACGTAGAACACTGGATATGTGCGCAATTTGCGCGGGAGGTTTAGCGTATACGCAAGTCCCTTCTTGGCCGTGACCGTAAACGCTCCAATAATGCGTGGACGCAACTTTGTTTTAAAGACAGCAGACACTACATTTGTAGGTAGATTTTTAACATTGAGTAGTACTTGGTCTCCGACCTCATAGCGTTTAATACAATTTCTGCCTTCGGCGTCAGCTTGTTGTTTTCGGGTATCTTGGCTACCAGCCATTGCGTCACGCCAATGTCTTAAGACATTTAATCGCGTTGCGAGAAACTCGCCTACCTGTTTTTGAACAGTAGCAGGGCTGATATCAGCAAGCCAATCGGCAACCTCTCCCCCACCAAGCCCTGATTCACGTAGTGATAGCATTAACGGAACGCAAAGGTGAGTGAGACCGTTTATATAAAACGGCGTAAAGCCTGTTGAGGCATGAACAGCGTTATTTAACGCAAACTCAACAACAGGGAGCAATAAGCTCCAACGCCTAGGCGTAACAGCACAAACACTAAGCAAAATGTCGTTGATGACGCGGTTAACACGTCCATTTTGACCGTTGGTCTGCGGATGATCCGCTGAGGACGTGTCCCACCGAGTGCCATGCACCTTGAAGATAGACTTCCAAAACTTCCCAGTGAAGCGGGGTTCTCTATCAGAGATAATTGCCACCGGCAAGCCATGTTGGCGAAACACACGGTCGATAAACAGCTTTGCTGTACCTTCAGCATTGATGCTATCCGGCACAGCCGCTAAGTGAGCCATCTTGCTTAATCGGTCAACAAAGACCACAATACCAGTGTTGACTTCCGAATCTTTCGGTAGGCCAAACACAAAATCCATGCTCATGGACTCCCAACAACCAGTGGGTACTGGCAAACTAGCCAGCGCCGCCGCCGCATGTGCCGAGGGCTTAACTCGTTGACACGTTTCGCACTTGCGCACATAGGTGCGCACCCACTTATAAAGTTTGGGCCACCAATAACTTTGGCTTACCGAGCTATATGTCTTCTCACGACCGAGATGACCACTTAATGCAGTATCATGTGCCTCACAAAGGATTCGATACTTTACTTCCTTATCATGAGGTACAGCGATACGAGGCTTATCCTCAATATCCGTGCGATAGCACAACAGGCCATTATCGATGGAATATCGATGTAGCCTCGCACGTAAACGTGCCGACAATTCTATGTCCGAGTCTTTAAACTCATCGCTCCCCAGAGCACGTAGCAAAGCTACACACTGATCATCCTTGGCATATGCCGCACGAATTAAGTCAGGGACTGACGACGACAGAGTCGTAACATGAGTAAGCTCATAGTCAGATCGACGCGATAGCGCATCAGTCAAAGCATTTTGCTTACCTGGCTTGTACTTCACCTCGAAGTTATATTCGGCAAAGAAGGAAAGCCATTGAGCCATTCTCTGTGAGAGATGAGGCGACTGTGTCGCAGTGCGTAATGACGCATGATCTTTATAGATCACAAACGGCTTGGAGCCAAGCAAATGTACTCTAAATTTGACAAGAGAGTACTTCATAGCAAGTAGCTCTTTGTCATGTACAGGGTAGTTCTTTTCAGCAGCTTTCAGCTGCCGAGACTCGAATGCGATGACGCGTTCGCGTCCGTCGACATCTGTTTGTAACAGAGCACTGTCTATGGCAAAGTCAGATGCGTCACAGACGACACTGAAAGGCCGACCAATATCGGGCAAAGCCAAAATTGGCGCATGAAGGAGACTCTCCTTAACTGCTTTAAAAGCATTATGTTCAGTGTTACCCCAACACCAATCCACATCCTTTTTAAGAAGATTGGACAACGGCCGAGCCATATCTGCGTCATTCGCACTGTACTTGTGTAAGTAATTGGCAAGGCCAAGCCACTTACGCAAGACCTTTTGGTTCTTGGGAACCGGCCAATCGACTATGGCTTTCACCTTAGCGGGATCCGCTCGAAGGCCTCGCTTCCTAATGAAGCACCCTAGAAAGGGAATCTCTTCTGCACCAATGATGCACTTCGATGCGTTCGCATACAACTTATTCGTTCGCATGCACTCGAGCACAGCTCGTAAATGATTAATGTGGTTATTTACATCTGATCGCCCATTCATTGCACGACTATGGACAAAAATGTCATCAAAGTAAGTTTGTGCATAGCCTCGATGAGGTCTGAATAGTTGCGTTACCAGCCGGTTAAACGTAGACGGGGCGTTAGATAGCCCTTGTGGCATAACGAGCCACTCCCAGAGCATACCGCTCGGAGTACTCACCGCTGTTAGCGGAATAACACCTGCTCGCATAAGCAGTTAGTAAAAACCATCGACTAAGTCGAGTGCACTGTACAATGTACATCCTGCCATATTGTTCTGAAGCACATCCTTTCTAGAAATAGGCGTCTGCGCCGGTGTAGTGGCTGCATCAAGCTTATTATAAGCATGCACAACAAGCCACTTGCCATTTGGCTTTTTGACACAAAATGTCGGTGTTGAATGGGGAGACTTGCTCTCACGAACCATTCCAGCCGCGTGCTTAGCACGAAAGTATTCGTAAATGACGTCACACTGTTCATTAGGCAAAGGCCACTGCCGTGTTACACAGTATTTAGTTCCAGGATCTAAGTCAATCTCATGACGTACACCTCTATCGAGTAGTAGGACAGAAGGTGGATTGTGACACACCACATCTTGAAATTCCTTAACTAAAGGATAGAACGGATCCAAAGGATCTTTAAGGATCGAAGATCCACTTCGTGCACTAAGTGCCGCCTTTTTATCCTCTAGGACAGACTCATCCATTGTGAGGAAGAGTTCAACTCAGTATCAGGTCTAATGACCGCTAACTCGGATAACTCTCCTGCCTTCAAGGCCTGGCTAAACTCGCCATCAGACATTTCGTCTAGCTCACAAAGAGCGTCCACAGATGGAAGGGTTTCAAGGCAAACACTGCCATCAACCTGACCAGTCACTCCATTAACAGGTGTATAGTGTATAACTATAAGAACTATGTGACTGTGTGGACGCCTGGCGCTTTAAAGTTGCTACCCGGCGTCGTGATCGTCTCTTCTAGACCTTACACCCCTTAGGGGTCGGGACAATATTATCCCCGTGGTTTATTCTAACCGTAGTACGCTCTATACGAGACCGTTTGTCTTGACCGACATTCGGTGAAGTGTTACTAAACTCGAACACTTCACCCAGTGGATTGAAACGTGCCATTCCACGTGTATTATGCGGGCCTAGCCCCAAATTTTACGGCGTCTCGCCAATAAGGTCATTACCGACATTAGGTGTGGTGCCCTCACGGCCGTCCACACTATACGGCGTATCGCCAACAGTATCATTACTGACATTAGGTGTGGTGCCCTCACGGCCGCCCACACTATACGGCGTATCGCCAACAGCGTCGTTATAGGCGTTAAGCGTGGTGTCCTCACGGCCGTCCACACTATACGGCGTATCGCCAACATTATCATTATTGACATAAGGTGTGGTGCCCTCACGGCCGGCCACACTATATGGCAAATTGCCAAAAGCGCCATTACCGGCGTTAAGCGTGGTGCCTTCACAGCCGCCCACTCTAAATGGCGTATCGCCAAAAATGTCATTACCGACATTCAGTGCGGTGCTCTCACGGCCGACCGCACTCGGTGTAGTTTCACGTGCCACCATACACCCATCAAAGGAATCACATCCTTGATCACTCGGCCCTAGGCCAACCATGCTTTCAGCATGCAGTGACTCGTTGTCACAACGAGTACCACTCAACGGAGTACGTGCCGTTTCACTAGTTTTAGACGAGCTAGGCTCGAAACTTATGTTTTTAACATTGAAGTTAGATAACTCAGACATTCCAATATCCAGCACATTTACATCTTCCGTCAAAGGCTCGCGCCAATAGTTTTTTTTTAGCGAAGGTGGGTTCATGACTCTCCAAAGCTTCGCTAGGAACATTGCGCGTAGCGCCTAAGGTCTTGGACCTCCAATCAATCCATGGCTCATGGCACTCAAGCCAAGCCATACCTAGAATGAGATCATATCTCGAGTCCAAATCTAGGACAAGACAGCGCTCAATACTGTCAAAGTCTAAAAACTTTATACCTAAGTTCAATAGAACTTTAGGCACAGTTACACGACTTCCAGTCGCTAAACGAACCGTGATAGAATCACCCTCATGCGTAGTAAGCGCCTCAGCATAAAGCTGACATTCCTCAAGGGAACGGCGTCGAGCATAATTGCAAGACGCTCCACAATCGATCAATATCTACCAAGGCTTCTTAAAGCCCTTAATTTTCGCCTCGGCGACCAACAAGACAGACTTGTATCCGCGCACCATACCTGTAGGTATGGTACTCTTTGGGGCTAAGCCCTGTATTCCTTTAACTTCTAAAGGTGAAACAGAATATAGTTCTTCCCAGTAGGGCGCCCCGCGCCTACTGGGTGTCGGCATTTCCCCGTGCCATACCAGACTTCTGACTCGGGGTCGAGTGTTAGTCTGGCGTTGCTTACGCAAAGGGCAACCAGGCCGCAAGTGTTTAGTGCTTACGCACGTAAAACATCGTCGTACAAAGTGTTTCTGCTCAGCAGCTTGAAGCTCACCTTCACCTCCATCTTCAGCATAGCTGAGATCCATCGGTTCCGGCCTATTATAGGCAGTGGTACCCGAAAAGTTTGCTCTCACAGAGCGAGGATTGTATCCATTCCAACCAAGTCTGGCCGACTTAAAGTTATGCTCAGCATTAAGAGCAATTCTCACAGCCTCTTCAAACGTAGAGGGGTGAACCTGAAAAACCTCTGTTCTGGAAATGCCAGTACGAAGACCTTCCATGAAGATAGTCACATGGACTGATTCAGACAGAGGGTCAGACTGCATTGCATCCATGAGCGTTCGCAGCTCTTGGACATAGTCCGATAATTCATTCTTACCCTGGCGGGTAGAAAGAAAGCGGGAACGCACGCGGTAAGACTGTTTAGGTGGAGA